TGATTTTTATGGCTTCCACAGGCCAAACTGGAGAAAAGAAAACCAGGTGAAAGACCTTGCAAAGTTTCTTAATACCATCAGATTTAATTTATAGTTAATGTACAGCTTGTGCTGTTTGGTTTGTTCAAATTTGAGAATGTCTTATGTCTCGGTCTGTTTCAGCAAAAAGGAATTCTGAATCTGCATTGTACTGGGGTCAGGACAAAACAAGTATGAATACTTGAGTATTAGGCATGTATGTAGTATCTTCTGTGAAATTGATTGTCTTCTTCCACTAGATGGGGCTTTCTCCATTGATGAGTTGAACCATTACTTTCCCTTCAAATGTTTTTGTCCACGTGCATGTGTAAGTGTGCACATACATTGGGTATCAGAGCCCTGAACTGCTGTTGTTTTTTTTTTTTTCTTCCCTTATCTTTGAGATTGCAATTTGCAGTTTTCTGCTTGCTAGAAGAAATGTCACAGTGCAATAATTTGAGATGTTGAGGTGTTAAGTGTCATTTTCTGGTGTGCTAAATTCTGTATCATCTTTGTGCAAGCATGTTGATTAAATGTAATGGCCACTCCCAAACAGTAATCCTTTCAGCTGTCTTTGTGACAAATCTGCAGACTTTTCAAATGCTGCCCAGTGAGCATGGCTTCTAAAATATTTGGAATAGGTCGGGCTTGTTTCTGTTTTGCAGTGAAGCAGTATTTTTCTATTTTTCTGCAACACTGCAAAATATCTTTCCGTTATTGAATTAGCTGAATAACAGGCATCTATGTATAGGTTTGGCAAATGAAATTTCTGAAGACTGTGGACAATTAAAAAAAAAAAATTACCCCAGCGTACTGGGGAAATTATGGATTATTTGCATCCCTGCTATGGCACAGTTCAATTATTAAGATACAGCTTTTGGTTTCAATCTGGAACTTCCCAGTCGCTGTCCTTGTGATTTTAAAGGGATTCCCATCTATTCCATGCATGTTTTTTAAAAGCTAGAAATAACACATTGTGCTAATCCTTCCAGCTACAAAACGATAATCCATCTGAGCAGAAGCTTGCCTGCCTACCCCACTGAGGACAAGTAGCTGCAAGAATTGAGGAAAAAAGCAAACTGTGGCTCTTCAAGAACAATGCAGTGGTTCCAAACATGAAGCGGGCATTCATGTAGCAAAGCAATTTTGTTAACAGGGGATTATCACAGTGAAAATGAATGCCAAGTTATTTTCATGAGAGTACCGCAGCTTGCTTTCCTCGTGACAATTTCTTGTTCCCTTCTTGGGTGCTTCAGTTGTACATTTTCTTGCCTTATCTTCCACTTTCCCATTAGGGAAGCTTACTTTAGACTCACTGTTGCTGTGTGCAAAGGAAAAATTTAAGGGCAAGATAGCTAATGGAGCTTGAGGTTATCATCTTTAAGCATACAAACGTTTTTTGGGCACAACTGTGGGACCACACAGTCTTTTCCAAGTCTACCGTATGTGTGCTTTTTCCTCTGCTCCACGGGCACATTGCATATAGAATGGCCTTAAACTGAGACAAGGGAGGTTTAGGTTAGATATTAGGAGGAAGTTTTTCACACAGAGGGTGGTGAGGCACTGGAACAGGTTGCCCAAGGAGGCTGTGGATGCCCCATCCCTGGAGGATTCAAGGCCAGGCTGGATGTGGCTCTGGGCAGCCTGGTCTGGTGGTTGGTGACCCTGCACATAGCAGGGGGTTGAAACTGGATGATCATTGTGGTCCTTTTCAACCAGGCCATTCTGTGATTCTATGATTTACAGATGAATTTTGATCCATTCAGGATTCTTTGGAGCCATATACTGTCCATCTTTAGGGCTCAATGTTCAAACCATTTCTTCCTTGGATATGTTAAAAAAGATAAATGAAACCTGTCTTTTTTTTTTTTTTTCTCCAATTTAAGCATTGTTTAAATATGTTTCACTGGGTAGTCTGCTCTCCTGTATTTACATCATCCTTCTATTTACAGTTGAGCAAGATGACAAAAATAACTGTGGTCTCTTATTGAATCAATGGAATTTTCCTGCATTTCTCCCCTGATGATTCGGCTGACTCCTAGACAGCCTAAATGCTTTTGCATTTCTACTTGCACAAATGAGGTAGTTCCTCTCCTGTATTTTTCCCCATCTTTAAATCTCACTGGGATTTGCTTTTGCTTAATACACAAACAGCAGAAACGGCATGGTTGATCAGGGGGTCATAGATCGCTGGCTGAAATTGAGGCATGCCTTATTAGAGTGGGTGAAAAAAAGCCCATAACCTCATGACAGCTGATTTAAATGCATGTATTTGGAGGGAAGGTGTTCCGGATCTCCGCAGGAATTGCATTGTCAATTGTGTTTGCTTATTCTTTTTGCAGCTGTTATTTTCTTCTCTTCCTTTAATGAAAGAATAACATTTTTTATTGCTGGCCCTCCTTCGCTCTTTTTTACACAGGAATGCAATTGCTGCTTGTTACCTTGAAGACCGGTTGCTGTTTAAAAAAAAAAAAATGGCTTTGTCCCCAATTACTGCAGTTTTGTGTCCTCAGATAAAATACCTATTCTGAGAGGAGTCATAAAGATATGCTGCAACAGCTCATCCTCCCATCCCCCACTTCTCCTTCAGTTATCAACAGTGCGTCAGTGGAAATTTCCACCGTTTGCTAATGTGAGAGAAAGCACAAAGTTGCAAAGCAGCCTTTTGAAGGGGAAAAAAAAAAAAAAAACCGCCACAAAACCAACAAGAAAAAAATGTACTGCCGTTTTAGAAGCACAATGAAAAGCAGCATACCACTTGCAAGCAGAAATGAAATCAGATTCTGGAGAAGTGGGATTAATACGGTGCACGGTTTGCAAAATGAATGAATGCTCCTGCAAACCTAAAGCTAGGGGAAGGGGGCATGGGAGTGATGGCATGGCATCAGCTGGGATTTCTCTCTCCATCCTCCCTTATATTATTCACAAGTGTGAGAGGATTGGGAAGGGTTCCTCCAATGGAGAAGATCTAAGTGGCATTTGTTAAATTTACCAGTGGCTTTTAATGGCTTTAACAGAAAAAGACTTTCCCTTTTCAAGGAGTGTGTATTTGTGCATTCTTCAGAATTGTTATGCTACAGTTCTCATGACTCATCCAAGCTTCAAACTCATTCTCCTTAAACTTTTAACCAGGTGGCATCGCCTGTTTTCTGATCTTCAGAAAGACTCTTCATTCTCTGTGGAGATTTGCACGGAGAAGTGAACCACCCTCCAAGCCCTCCTTAAGGCAGGCTGTCCCTGTGTCTCGCAGCAGCCCTTCCTGCTGCAGTCACCATAGTTGACTCAGTGAGCTGGCGCTGGTCCCCCACTCCTGTGATGCACAGCCAAGGCCTGCACCAGTTGGGCACCTGTTCTGGAGGAGTGGCTTCTTCAGTGCAGGCTGCAAGGAGATTTCTTGCCATCAGGCGCCTCACCTCATCTGGGGGAACTTAGTGCTTCCATCTGCTTTTTCTGAAAAAGTCTTTAGTCCTAAATTGTGACTGTTAATACAGATGCAGGCATAAGAGGTTCAGGATGAGGATGTCTGGCTGAGAAGAATTTTCTTTGCAGTGTTTTCCATGTATGAATTCCACCTCTGCGCAGCAGTCCAGCAGATTTCTCAATTTCATTTCTGACCTAACAGGTCTCCTGTGTGTGTACTATTTCTTGGTGTTAATTATGCAAGGCATTTAGTTAGGTAAAAAGAGCTCTAATGCAGGTCAGCGGCATGGATGTGCATCTGTCTGTTTTTGGAGACCTCACCTCCTGTATTTCCCGTTCAGCCTCCCATTCCAACTGCTCATTTTGTGGACTTATCCTCCAGCATTACCTCTATGGAGGTGATGTTCACCTTGATAAAAGCCTGTGTCTCCTGCAGAATACAGTCTTGTTAGGTACAGTTTTTAAATCCAACTGGAATGCTTGATCCTGCTTCAGTGTTTGTGAGTTAGGAGTGCAGTTCTTGACAAATGTATAGTATGACTTAGGAATACTACTCTCAAGGTATGTTTCAGGGTGGTGCTTCTTGGGGAGGTTCAATCAAGATATTTAGTATACTAATATACACACTATATACTATACTAATTCGGGATACTAACGGGCAAGCAAATGTTATCCTTTCTGTAGGTAGGCAGTAGGGTTTGTTTAGCAGATGCCAAAGGTAGTTGTGTGGTGGAGACGAAGTGCTTACCTGGAGCAGTGTATCTGATACATTCTGTGCATGTGTGGAAGGAAGACCTTTTCACTCTTGCCAAGATCAGCAAGTCAGCACGCTTGTCAAGTGCCGACTGTGCAAGTTGGCATTTCCTGAATGCAGCTTCAGCTCCTGCCCCCACATTGATGATTTAAGCTCTGTTCACATTGGAGAGGTTCCTAATTTAGGATAAGTCCATCTATTTGGGTGTATTTTATTCTTTGTGGGGTTTTTTTGCTTTTGCTTTTGCTTTCTGTTTGCTTTAGTTTTGTTTTTTTAATTTGCATTCAGCTCCAGAGCAGAACTTTGAAGCAGTATACCTATGTGTATGTAAGCTTAAGATATTTTGCGCTGTCATTTGTTTCCCAATGAAACAATGCTGTGAATTCAAAGGAGAATGCATGTTGTAAGCAAAGTTAATATGCCACCATTCAAAAAAAAAACCCACAACATATTATTCAGATGTTGGTGACCCTGCACATAGCAGGGGGGTTGAAACTAGATGATCATTGTGGTCCTTTGCAACCTAGGCCATTCTATGATTCTACAATTCGGATCCAGGTATGGAGCAGGTACAAGAAGGTCAAGTTCTCCTTAATGTGCTGCGCCACCAAGAAGAGTTCAGACGGAGCCTGCTTGAGTTGAACTTGTCATATTTGAAATCAAGATAGTACTGAGTTTTTATTTAAAGAATTCTGGTAGCAGAACTTTAGAAAAAAAAATGAATTTCATTTGAGATATCTCACTGTTATTTGAATTCAAGTTGTAGTACAGGTACTTTGTTTTATTTTATGTGTGTTTCTCATTGCAGGTATTTTTTGGTAGACTTAGAGGGCCCACCTTCAATTGTATCGACCATGATGGATCATTTAGGACGTGATGTTGATGTAATTAGACGTGCTTTTATAAAGTATCCTGTGTCAAAGACAGAAGAATGCAGTGGCATAGTCAACTATGAAGACAAACTAATTCCCAAGAAGAAATGAATACTCTAAATCGCATATTTGAAACTTCTAGGTGATTTTTTAGTCCTACTTTTGAATACAATTTTGATAAGCAATGTCCATCAAAAATAATCAGTTTTAGCTATGTTATGTGTGTGGAATAGTACACTTAAGTTATTGTAACATTGGAGGTTTCTTTTAAAATTGTTTAAATAACTTGAGTAGAATTAATCTGTATGCTTATCTTCATGTTTGACAGCTCTGAAAATGGATTTTCTTTTCTCTTAGAATATTACATTGATAAGATTTATCCATCATCACAACACTCAAAATAGCATTCTTTTCCAAAGACAGATTACTTCATAGTATGCATATTTACATTAGAGATTAAGAAGTCTACAGTGTAAATATAGCACAATAGTGTGTGATCTGTTTGAGGATTTTTTTGCTTGTTTTTTTTGGGAAAAGGTAATAAAAGTGTGATTAAAAATAAAACTTGACTCATTTTTTATGACCAGAAAAGGTACAAAAAGAAATGACTCATGCTGCCAAAAGACATGCCAAACTTTTCTTTATGGTCATGTGAGAACTGTGTTCAAAGTACAGGTAAAGAGTTACTCTGTATACAAACACCAACTGGCATGTGAGAGAATGACCATAGTTGAGTTGAGTGAAAGAAGAATAAAAGATGTTTTGTTTTACCATCAACTAGGCCCAGACTGGGCATTGGAATGGAGGAAAATATTTGTAGGATGGATGTTCCTTCCACACAGGTGTGAGCTTAGCCAGGAGGAGCTGTGGGGTTGTAAGTCTGTGCTGTGGGGTTGGATTCGTGTGCTGCCCTTTTTGCTGATCTGCTGAGAATGGAGGCTAATAGCATATGAAGCACAGACTACAAATAGAAAAATACATAAAAATGTGTTTTACTCAAGTCTCTCAGAAGTTTTTCTTAATGGGACATGAGCAGAAACCTGTAGCCTAAAGATTCCCATCATCTTTCCTCATTTCAGTCTTTTGAGAAATGAGTGCTTAACTCTTTTTGGTCACCTACCTATTCACAGAATAAATTGGTGTTCTGCATGTAAAACAAGGCAAGGTTCTCCCTTGTGTTACCACCTGTACAAGCTTTTCACCTACACCTCCCTCCACTCTTCCCCCCCCCCCCATTTTTGTTTTGTTTTGTTTTGCATAGGTGCACAAAACAAGTATTTGTTGGTTACTTGAGTTTTTTTTATTAAGAAAAATTGCTGTCAAGTCTAACAGTTATCCTCTGGCTAGGAATTTGGGCCCTGGATTTTATTTCAATAGCAAGGAGAATACATAAGCTTTCAGCTTCACTAAATAAAGATTGAAAACGGATTATACATACACAAATACTGGTTGTTTGTCTTTATGCTGTTCCCTTTAGCATCATATTATATCTGGCATTTAATTTGTTTCAGTTTTGATGTTGATGCGTGTGTTCAGAAAGATGTTCACTGAGGATGAGCTGTCAGCTTATTATCTATGAAACATGTGATAGTATTTGTTATGAATCAGGACCTGAAGTGAGTTGGACTTTCATGTCTCTGTTTCTGGTCTGAACAGAGCGTGGCGGATGCTAGGCATAGAGAACTTGGGCTCCTGAGTCCAGCTTATCCCAAGAGTGGATCAGCATTAGTGAATCTCTTGGAGCCTAGCTGACCCTAAAGAAAAGCAGCAATACCAGCTCTGAGAGATGGTGGTCTCCAGAAGGCCAGAGAGCGTAAGGAGATGCTCCCGATCCACTATCCTCATACTCTGAAGCATTGGTTGTGTACAGGGGAAGGACTGAAAATCTGCCTTTAGCATAGACATAGTGCCCACTGAAGCCAGCGGCCACAGGCACAGCAGCGCTTGCAGGCCTGCTACGTGGTTACACAAGCACTCGTGCTTCCTCAACATCAGGATTTATTTATAAAAAGTCTGCTGAATAGCTGTCTCTTAACTGGATGTACTATTTTTTTTCATAATTGATAGTTTCTAATATGAACATAATTTTTTTTTTCTTCTTTTTAATAGGGGTTGGGTGGGGGAGGATGAGGAAGGAGCCTTGGGTTGCAATTTGTTTAGCCCAGTCAGCCGCTTAGACTGGTAGTTAGCTATTTCAGGAAAGTAATGCAGAACAGTGCACACATTCTCTCAGCAGCTATAAATGCTGGAATGGGCATTGGATTCTATCTGATGATTTGAGCGGTTCTGGTTTTGGGCAGCCTGAGTTGTGCTGTGGAAGAAAGCTAGGAGCTATACCTTGGGCTGTCACAGATTCTCCTAAGAGAGAGAAGGAAAATTTTAGCATGTCTTTGCAGTGTGCTGGGGTTTTTTGATAGTTGAGAGCTGATTTGTCCCACTGGACTCTTGATTTCCAAGAATAAAACTTCAGGATGCTGTATGGTGTCACTGGAGGAGCTGGAAGAGTCTGTGCAGTGGGAGCGTGGCCAAATAATCAAATGTCAAACTCCACCGGCATTCCCAAAGGCCTAAACAATTTGTGTACCAGTACTTGAAATTTTTTTTACCCTGTAGTCTGATAATGAAGCGCTTTGACTCCTCCTTAGATTATGTGAGAAGCTGTGGTGCCCCATCCCTGGAGGCGCTCAAGGCCAGGTTGGATGGGGCCCAGGGCAGCCTGAGATGGTGGGAGGCAGCCCTGCCCACAGCAGGGGTTGGGGCGGCGTGGGTATTGAGGTCCTTTCCAACACAAACCATTCTGTGATTCTGTGTTCACAAGTGTATGAAATAAGTAATTTTACACTCCTAGATGCCCGGTAGATTGTTGGAGATGCACTGAGGTAAGTACTAACGTACCAACTGGCAGTTCTCCTGGGCCAGAAGTGTTTTCTCTATCCTACTTCTGGCAAGCAAATAAGCACAAGAGATTTTGTGGTGGAGATCTTAGGTACGTCTTCAATCACACATTTTTCCTGACTTGATCTCTCTCACTCTGCTGAATATGGACTGTGCTGTGGTTTCTCAGCAGGCTGAGGGCAATACACCCTCATAGCACTTAGCACTGTGCTTGCAAAGCACTTGGTGAGCCTGACCCAGGAAGTTTGTGCATGTGGTGATGTGTTCCCGCTAACCCAGAGGCTGTACACCTTCTGTGCATCTCAATAGCGTGTTGACAGTGTGAGCTTAAAGGAGTTGAGGATCCTCAATGTCGGTAGAATATTTCTATCACTGTAAATGTTTTAATGGGTCTCTCCAAAAATCATCTCTCAGCTGCATTTCTTAGTAGAGTGCTGAAGCAGCGGGCTGAGCCAGGTACAACAAACATGGGGAGAGGCAGCAATAATTACAAGGGCAGCTTTCCAATGACTCACGGGCTCTGACCGCAGAAACCCATCACTTGTCACTTAATGAAATCAGTTTCTGTTTAGCAAGGTGCTAACTTGTTTGAAGCAGTTGGAGTCACAGCATTTTTTTCTGGGACTTAACCTGCTTGCTACATTTTATTCCCTCTCAAGAATGGCTTTGGGGATCTGACCAGGGCTGCCAGTACCTCCAGCAAATGTTCATGACAAGCCCTTCCAGATAATTCAAACTTGTGGCATGTAATCATGGGCTAAAAAACAATGAGTACTGTTTAAAATACAAGGTTCTTTTTATTGGCCTTTTAGGTTTTTGAGCTTTTATGATTCACTTTTTTCAATCTTAGTGGCTGGCATGGTTTTCATGTAGCATCTGACTGAAGAGCTTTCAAAAAAACAGCTATAGCAAATGAGATTCCTGATAAATTCATTGGGACTGGTGCTGTGTCCCTACACCCACTGAGACAGAACAAGGGAAATTAAAATGGAATTGTTATTTTATCCTTCCTAGAACTCTGAGCTTCAGATACCAGAAAAGTGAGAATTGATGCGGAGCCAAAACATGCATTTTCCCAAGTGCTGCATGAAGGGAAGATTAAAAAATGTGTTATTTGCTGTGACCTATGTGATGCGTTGATTTCTTACTGCTGCTTTGGCAGACCTTCAGAAACACACAGGCTGCAGCTGGTGGACTACCTTAGGCTAATGCTGCTTTTCTTTGCACTGCTAATTGTGCAACTTTGCGGAGGAGTGGGAGAGACACCACTTATTGAATGCTGGTTAAGAGGGAGAGCGATGTATTGACAGATCCCATTGCTGGAGTATTCAAGATTGCCTCCTAAAAACAGTTTTAAGGGAAGGCAATGTTCACTGTAAACCTGGGAGAATTTTCATCCCTGTTATTTCGGCATTGTGCTTGGACTGCCAAGTCAACCTTGTTTGGAAATTGCTAACTTTCACACAGAAAATCTGGCTTATTACAGTCTTCAAGGTGTTGATGTTGGGGATGCTTTTGGGGGAATAGTGCAGATCCACTGCCTCCTTCTGAGCTCTGTAGGAACAGTTGCATCCTGACATTAAGATTTACTTCTCTGAAGGGCAAGCCACCTTGGTGGGGCTGGGAGAACTCAGGATTTGTATTGGTTCCCAGGATTCATGAGAAGCTCCTGTGCAAGGGCTGGTGGGTACACTTTGGAGAATGACTAACACTTGCAGGGCTCTCACAGAGCTGCTGGCTGTGTTAACGAGGTAAGTTCTGCCCAATTTTCTGCGGAGGGCTGACTTGAATGTTACTACAGAGAGAAGGAGGCTTTAGGTTTGAATTTCCTTTCACGATTCACCTTGAACATAGCAGCTGGTGAGGCAGGGTGGAGAAAGCTTTTGTGGCATGTTCTGATCTCTCAGGCTGTCTGCTATACCATTTTCTGTGTGTGACAGGAAGAGTGAAAATGTCATATATAATCTGTATCATTTGCATGTGTTTGTACCTGAGAGAGATGACTGATGAAAATATAAAGAGCAGAATGTTTATTATCTTATTAATGCATGAACATCATTCCCATTCTCTTAGTCATTGAGTGGGAATGTTGTGAAAGAAAGAATCACTCCTCAAATGTCAAGCGCCTTGGAAAAACTATGATCTGTAGAATGGAGGGGTGAATGAGGTTGAAAAATACAGGACACACTTGGTGAAAAGTGTGCTGGAGGAAGGTGGCAGTGGAGCAAAGGATCTGCATGGAGAGGATGAAAAAGGGTCACAGAATCACAGAATGAGTTGGGTTAGGAGGAACCTCAAAGCCCACCCGCTCCCAACTCCCTGCAATGGGCAGGGCTGCCACCCACCAGATCAGGCTGCCCAGGGCCCCATCCTTGGCTGAATGGAATCCAGCAAGGTGCCTAGTGGCATCCAGCAGGAGCAAGGAGGTGATTGTTCCTCTGTACTTGGCACTGCTGAGGCTGCATCTTGAATACTGTGCTCAGTTTTGGGTGTCTCACTACAAAAAGACACTGAGGCACTGGAGTGTGTCCAGAGAAGGGCAGCAAAGCTGTGAGGGGTCTGGAGCACAAGACTGATGGGGGGCTGCTGAGAGAACTGGGGTTGTTCAGTCTGGAGAAGAGGAAGGCTCGGGAGATCTCATCACTCTCTACAGCCACCTGAAAGTAGGT